AGTCAAGGTACACTTAATGGCACAAGTAACAATTGAAAAGTTGTCATGAATCTTATTGTTGATCAAACTCAGACAAATATACCACTAGAAAATGTCTATTTGAACATGACACAAAGTAAAACTACAAACAAATAATACAAGTCAAAAGCAATGTAAAACGTCTGGAGCAAAATTACATCGCAAAAATTCAGTCATGTAATACAAAATTGCGTTGTAACATTGATCTAGACTTTACAAACAGCACTAGAGAAATGAGTACGTGAACAACGCTCGAAAACGTTTCCTACGTCACAGAATCACATTTTGTCAGTCAAGGTACACTTAATGGCACAAGTAAGAATTAAAAAGTTGTCATGAATCTTATTGTTGATTAAACTCACAGGAAATATCTTTTGAAGATAGCTTTTTAAACAAGATCTAAAATAAAACTACAAATACAAGAATGCAAATAAAAAGTGACATGATACATTTACAGCAAAACAATATCACATAAAACCAATCATTTGAAACAGAATAAGCATAAAATCAGACATTTAAAACACAATTACACATGAACATTGATCTTGACTTCACAAACGACACTAGAGAAATGGCTACATGGACAAGGCTCGCAGACTTTTGGTACGTGAAAGAATCATATTTTATCAGTGGCGTTTTTAGTGCATAATAATAATGTGCTTGGTCATTAAAACTCCACATAAACTTTTTTAGGAGTACTTCACGACCACGCCATGAACTGATGATATTCTAGGAGATAAACTAAATATCACAAAATCTTCCAGTCTTTTTGATCATACACTAAGGAAGCACATCCCTAGAGAATGGCTATTTGAACATGACACCAACAAAACTTCAGTAAAATGATAATTTGAGCAAAATTACAGGTCGTATTAATACCCATAAAACCAGTCTTTTTGATCATACACTAAGGAAGCACATCCCTGGAGAATGGCTATTTGAACATGACACCAACAAAATTTCAGTAAAATGATAAATTGAGCAAAATTACAGGTCGTATTAATACCCATAAAACCAGTCTTTTTGATCATACACTAAGGAAGCACATCCCTGGAGAATGGCTATTTGAACGTGACACCAACAAAATTTCAGTAAAATGATAATTTGAGCAAAATTGCAGATCGTATTAATACCCATAAAACCAGTCATTCATAAAACAGCAGTGCACATCAACATTGATCTGGACTTAATTTGCCATGTAGATAATAAGATGAGGGGTCATTTTTTCTTTTTGTGGTGGAACTTGGTACGATTTCTTGTTGCAATCATCGAACTTCTCCCATACACCGGTACGGCGACGGCAATAGGAAAAGTAATGTTGTTTGTTGAATGCAACAATCCCAGCTAATGTGAATCTCTTACCACGTAGGGAAAGGGTACACAGTACTTTGCCCAAAAGGTACTTCTGATTTAAGTCCAAATCTGATCCGTCTTCACTTAAGTTGTCTAAGTCAACAAAAAGTACATCCGTGCATGATACCACGCCATTGGCCACTTGGTCACACTCATTTTGAGGGCACGCCGTTTCCTGTGGCACCATACTAAATTCTAGAGTGTCCTGGAGGTTGTCGATTCCAGTTGCTCCCAGGTGTGCGTACTGCACTGTGATGACGGAGTCAAATTTGACGTTCTTATGACCCTTCGGGCACCCCCAAGTGGTCACCTTTGATGGCAATTCTCCTAAGGCAGCTTTCACTAGTGCAGTCACATTTCCATTCGGAAGCCTGGAATGTTGTTCTTCTTCTACTTGGCCTTGTAAGTTAGCCAGAGAGTATTCAAGGATATTCACGGACTTCCTTTTGCTGGCGTTTCTGGTGGTGTTACAGACGTCCCTCGCTTGCATTAGGGATGAAAATGGGACCAGTGCCTCCGCCCGCTGTTGATTAACTTCCCTGCATACCCCTTTGGTGGCAAGAGAAGCTACTACAGTGGCCACTCGCATACCCGCGCCGCACGGTTCTCCTCTCTAGGCCGGCGCGGCTATGAGAGGGACCCCCATCTCCGCTAAATGGCCGTCCGAAGGATGAAGCCACAGTGCTGTTTGTGTTATTTAGCTTCAAAGCTGTTGAACAGTAATCAGAGAACAATCAGAATCCACGCCAGCAGTGTATGGTGGTGAGCAGTGGTGTCAGGGTAGTAGAGCTTAGCGCAGCTATGAGAGGCGCGGCTATGCGAGTGGCCACTGTACTTGCAGGCTGGGCACTGTGTCTTTCTTAGAGTTAACAATGTTCCTGAACTTTTCGTCGTCGATAAAAGCGATGGCCAGGACCTGGGCCAACGCGTCGAAACTACAGGTGTTTTTTACAATAACCTGCCCTATTCCTGGAACACTGAAGAATCCTGTAATATTTCCATTCTTGAGGAGTAAGGGAGGGTGGGGCAGTTAGTGACAGGGGCAGTTAGTGACACTTGTCACCCCAGGCCGTCCTATTGAAATTTCGCGCTAACTTCGATCGGCTTAAACAAGTTTCAGAGCTCGAAAAACATTTGCCACAAGGCGGTGGTGTTCGGCAGATTGTTATGGCGGCGGTGAAACTTTGAATGTGTCTCATCACAATTTTGAGGTAAGGTTCGACTTTTGCCCCTTTTTCTTTTTGTAAATACTCCGTAGATATCGCCAACTTCACCATACGGAGTTTTCTGTGATTGGTATGGACTATATACGTAATGATTTTACTCGCGGTCCGAACTTAGTCCGACGAGGTAACCTCTCATTCACGTTGAAACACCGTTCAGCACTTGGGGTAGATAGTGACAGTTTTTGCCGGGGCAGTTAGTGACACCAAGATCTTTATATTACAACGCGTATTTCTTTCTATTCATTCAAAACCTAGTCCTATGATGAATCTTATCGACTCTGTTGACATAATGCACTGTACTGACATGTGTGGTCTAACCTCTATTGGCTTTTCAGGTCCAGAATGGTTCGAAACTACATTTAAAACTAGTTTTGTGAGTAAAACTCCCTCTAGCGTCTAAACGGTGAGAGATAGAGCCAAACGGGCGAAATTTTAGCCCATAGGGCTCTACTTTCACAAGTTACCCCTTACGAGACCATCAATTATTTTCTGGAATTAATATATTTATTTTTGGGCCAGTTTTGTGTGTAAAACGCCCTCTAGCGCCTAAACAGTGAGAGATAGAGCCAAACGGACGAAATTTTGGCCCACAGGGCTCTACTTTCACAAGTTACCCCTTAGCAGACCATGAAAATAATAAATTAAAAAAATCCCACTTCTTGGACCAACCCCCATTTAACTTGGACACCATTGATCATGCCTTCATACTAGACTATTCAGTAATTATCATCAATTTAGTCAAAAGAATCGTTTCAGATAGTAAAAACTAGGTTTAATGCAATTTTATACCGTTGCCACTAAGTGGCCCAACCTCTGTCACTAACTGCCCCGGGCCGGGGTACATAGTGACAAATGCAGGGCTCCAGTTCAAGCCGATTTGATGGCACACCGGCTCGTAACTCATCGAACCACCACCTGCATTACCTGGGCAAAGGTTGCAAGAAACTATCTAAGCTTTCGTGCTCAACATTTGGCCGAAAATAAGCGAAATAAGCTCGATTTCCAAAAAGTGTCACTAACTGCCCCACCCTCCCTTAGGCTTTTCGGCTGCTTGAGAGTGCCCTTACCATCGGCCGATGACATGGAGATGTTTGGATTTGGTTCGAGGTATCCTGGTTTAGTTTTTGATCGTGTAGTCTTACTCTCGGTCTTACTCTTCTTTCTAGGTCCGCCGTTTTCTGATGTTGATTGCCTTTTCTTAGAGTTAGGGGTGGGGGACAAGCGTGCCTTACTTTTTGCATTTCTCCAATTTTCTTTCCCGCGGAGTTCGTTTATGTCATCGTCCTCAGACGATTTTTCCTCGGACTCTGATTTGTCTTCTGATTGAGCTTCCTTATCTTCAGCGTCTTTATCTTTAGAAGATGCGGACAACAGCTTGTTTTGTCCGTCGATGCTGTCTAAGTGAAGTTTGACGAACACATCGAGTTTCATTGGCTTCGCTTCGTTTTTCAAGACCCTTCTCTTTAGGTCGTTAAAGTCACTTTCCATGGCCGCTGTAACAGCCACTAACTTGGGTGAGCCAAAAGGTTCAACCATTACTGCGGACCATAGCACAAAAGATCCTGCTTCAGCAAGCACCTTGTCCCCGAAATCTTTGTTGGTGTAGCAGTTGATCGCAGAGCCATGAATTGCCGCCTTTCTTTCAACTTCTTCTTTAACCTCAGCCAACCAGTTGGCGATATTGTCTGGGTCACCACTAGGGTTTTCCTCTTCTCGGTCTGCTGATTCTGTTAAGTCTTCCAAGATTTCGGGAATCTCCTTCCTGGCATCTTCGCTGCTGGCTGCTGTTTTGAGGGTCTGGATCGCCTCTGATGTCGGCTGATTGTGCATATGCAACAATGAGTACTTTTACTAACTTGTTCCGAAAATCATCAATTGTTTTCGATAGAATAAGCAGGCCAAGGAATCTGAGGTGGTGGTCTTTGATGAGTTTATTTTGCACAGAGTCCCACCCTTTCCACTTGGACATGAGGCCAAGGAAATGGGTGGAATCCAACCTCACGAAGCAGTGCGGTAAGGTTGTTCTTTTGCGCACAAGAAACTCAAAGCACTGCTCTTTATATCCCTTCGTGCTGACACTCCTGGCAAACTTTCTTGTCAAGGCACTCAAAAGAGCAGCCGAGTTATCGCACAGTACTTCATTTGGGCACAGAGCACCACGACGAAACCAGTCTTCGAGCCAGAACCCAATGTTGACAGCATCGTGGCGCTCAGTAACCATTTGGTAAAGCTGTGCTGTCCCACTTCCAGTGTTTGAGACAATTTCGTAAAGGAGTAACTGACCTGACAGGCCATGTATGCCTGTCAGTCTTCGGCAGTATGGCCCTGTGGCATCGACCTCAATAATGTGATAGTCCTGCTTTTTCAGAGTGTTGTTAAGGAGGATTTGACCTGGAGTAACGTACATGACACGGATTGGGTCATCCTCTAGGTCATGTATCGATCCAAAAGTACAGCTTTGGATCGTGCTTCATATGTTTCAGTTCCTCCATGACATTTTTCGACCTCCTTAAACCAAGTGCACCTTCTTTTGCTTGGGATTTAACCTTTCTGTAAACTTCTAAACTATACAATATTGGTGGTTGTACTTTTCCAGGTCTTGTGATAAGCTTACTCGCTTAATGCCTCCTAAACACAGCAGTTGATTTATTTTCTACCAAAGTTTCAACTCGACGACGCTCGCTGCCAGCACATCTTCTCTTTTTGGTGTGATTTTTGTTTTTTCTGGTATCCTCGGTTTCAAGCATAAGCATGACTGACTCATTGCCAATAGGTTTGGTAAGAATTCTACCTTCACACGTAGCTTTACAATCATCAGTGCAGTGCCCTCGTATGGTTACATAACTCTTAGCTAAATCAGGTCTTATGGCAACGTCAGCCGACTTGAAAGCAAAAGCGCACGGAATTTCATGCTGCGTCCAAATTAGCTCAGATATGATATTAGTCCATTTTAATTTTGGAAGTTTGAGGACTGTTTTTTTCCCAGAACTGCGGTCACTTCTTTTGTAGTTTTAGGGAGCGGGCTGAAGCTCTAGCCACTGTGATGGTGGTATAATAATCCTGAATGTCTTCCGAGGATAAACAGTCTGTTCAGGCTCCGTGTCAGTTTCATCTGAACTATCTGTCTGTTTTCGTCGCTGGACGATGACGATGATTCGTCTTCACGGTAGGGTGACGGCGGTGTCACTAAACAACGCTGTTTCGTCGCCAGTTCCCATCTGTCTTCTTTGATGACTTGATAACAATATTTGGCCGACATTATTCCATCCATTACATCGCTCAGTATAAGCCATATACCGTCACGTGGAGGAAGGACTTCTCCAGAATCGTCCCACACGTTCACTTCAAGCCACTTCAGCACATGGCTGAAGCGACTCAGGACTTCATTCATGGGCATTTTGTCACTGGAGTCTGAAAGTCAATAAAAATGAACGACAAAACATGAAATAGATGACACTTCCATATTGGGAAAGAAGCTCCGGTCTTTGATAAAGTTCTTTCTCGCTCACCTTCAAGTCATGCACGGCAAACTGAGTACGCAGAAACTGTGAACAGGTCCCTCACATAATGCTGCAACAATAACAATACATCATTAGGAGGAGTTGTCAATCTCTGCAACACTTTGTTGGCTGAGCGATTAGCGAAGCCCATTACTCCACTGACCGGAAAAGATTCGAAAAGCGCCGTGGCCAGCCCCTACCCGCTCCTTCCCCTTCCCCGCCCACCCCACGGCCCAAAGGATACAAAAAGCGCCGCGTGCATTGGGTTGCCTGCCTAACAGGCGGTGCGAAGGTATCGGTGACTGGCGAACTCAAAACGCAGGGTGACACAATAAACAGATCAGAAGGGTCGAGTGTCGATTGCGGCGGGGCCAAGGCGCCGATTGTCGTTTGCGGCGCGCGCGGGGGAATCCGAGGGGAGATAGAGACATTTCCCTCTTCGCGCCGCACGGCGGTCAGCCGAAGGACCCGCCAAGCGGAGAGGTGTGAGCAGTTCTCCGCGAACGGGTCACTTTCGTGTCCACACCTCAGCATATCTACATCTCAACCGATTTGAATGATTTTTTTTGCCCTCTGTTCGTGTTTTTCGTGCCAAAACTTAAACCACGTGTCATTCAAGCCGTACATCAACTCCCATCGGAGATATTTGAGGGGAAAGGGCCCAAAATGTAAGATCCGTAACCATTTTCAATGTCCACAGCTCCAGATTTCAAACTTCCACCCCTCCGCGCGCCCTAAAGCGAAATGAAAAATTCTTTCGGCCCGGTTTCGGAAAGTCACAGGTGTGCGAACAGGACTAAGACGAAAAATGTCCTCCATGGTAAGGTTACAATAGTCTAAAAGTTAGTTTTTGCCACTTTTGAACGGTTTAAGTTCACTTACGCGTGCCGCACAATTTCCCATAACAAAGGTACATGTATACCCTGCCCACCACCATTCGAACGAAGACGATGGGCTGCCCGGTTCTCTCGCAAAGCTCATCTGAACGCCTGAGAAAGGTATGTGTCAAGCAGAAAATGTAAGATCCGTGCACTCTATATCTCAGTTTCTAGTGCGAATTTCGATTTCGTTCTAAGGGGGTCGTGTTGGTTTCATAAACACGCGAAGAAAGTCGTTTCGCCGGACCATTTCAGTCAAACGGTTCGGTCCCAATGCTTGATTTTGGCTTATTTTGTAAGATCCGTAACCAGTAAGATCCGTAACCATTTGTTGAAATTATTAGTAACCAACACGGTTTTACTATATCTTCCATTCTTCCAAATGCCAATATAACCTCAGAATTATTAACTACACGTTTTTATAGTGCAAAGGGGAATGACTCTAACTCTGGATGACTGTAAAACCACACCTTTTTCACAATTGCTATAATTTGTTGTGCTTTTTAAAACTATCTTTTCTGTTGTTTGTTTTATATAAGTCATTCATACCTTGTTGTTGCCAGCTGCCAGCTTGTTATTCTTGTGATAGAACCTAACTGGCAGGCCGCCCTTAACCTCCCAAATCATGAATGTTTTGTGTGTTGTTTCCAGATATGAGACAAGATGGCGAGGCGGTCGTCCAGGATTCGAGTACAACATCAGATTGCTGAAATAGACACACAACCAACACCTCGTTTGAGGTATGTCTAAGTATTTTACTATGTTTTGTCAAAGAAATGAACTGGCTATTATTTTCTGGCTTTCCTATTTACATATGTTTGTTGTTTTCAGGAAATGCAATAAGAAGACCACTGCCAAATGCAAACCAGCCAAAAGATGCCGATCAGTGTACATGCGAGAGTACAGGAGAAAATTAAAAACTAATGCCAGTGCATACATCAAAAGTAAAAAAGCCGATGCAGCAAGAAAAAGAAAAGCTAAGGCAGAGGGCAAATTAAAATCAAGGAATGA